TAAGGATCCTAAAAGGTGACCCCAAAAAGGAACTACAATGGAGACTATAGGTAGGGTTTAGGGTTTACTTTAAAGCTCCTTTCGTCGGTCCCCAGAAAAGATTTTAAGCGCGTGTCACAAGGGCTTTTGAGGGTGTAAGCTTTCGTATCTGAAAACTGCGTTCTCTTATTTCGGGTTGCTTATAGTACTAGGCAGTGGTTCCTTAAGAAACAATGCACGTAGCTTTGGATTTCTAGTTGATGCATAATAAAGTCTACAGGTACGACTGGACGACCTCAAGTAAGAATCCTGATGCTTAGGAGTATAAAACTTATTAAACAATAGCGAGGGAGTAGTATACCCTTATCTTCTCTATGTACTTACACGTTACTCTACCTCAAGACCCTCATGCAATCTCTGAGGCGCCTTTGCCTAGCCCGGAGCCCTTGAACCCTGAGGATTGCACCTCCTCACTGGCTGAATGCGGAAAGCCCCTGAACTCCAAAACCTCGAAACTCTGGGCCCATGAACCCCCACACCCTACAGCGGAAAGCTCTAAGCGCTGTGAGGCTTAAGGACTAACATAGAAGCCTGACTAGTTCGCAATACTTTCCGTTAGGGTCTCTATCATCACAACAATACTAATCTAAATCAGCAATGCTGTCTCTGAAGTTTTCGTGTATATTAAAACCATCAAGGCCCCTGTACCCAAACCGCCGGAAGGATCCAAAAGTAGATCCCTCAAGGGCCTCCTCCAGTTCTGAGAGTCTGGCACGACTCATATGTTCATGTTTTTGGGGACCCGGATTTTGAACCCAAGCCAAATTACATGAAACTTCCTAAAGCTAAACCCTGAACCCACTACACGGCTGGACCCTGGAACCCCAAAACTCACACCCTCAATCTTCAACCCGCTAACACCCCCACAGCCCTGAACCCGAAACCCACACAGGAACCCTTAAAGGAAGGAAGCCTAAACCCCAAACCCTGAACCCTTGTATAGAACTTTCGACGGACCCCTTCTAGGTGGGGCTTTTAGAGCCTTTGAAAAATATTAGTAAATAAGATCCTCTTAAGCCCAATAAGGGAAAACATAAAATGTCCCAAAGCCCTACCTAGCCTTGAAGGAACCCTTAAAGGACCTTAAAAGGACACCCTGAAAGGAGCCCTAAAAGGCACCCCTTGAAGGAAAAACTTCACGGATCCCTTTAAGGAAAAACCCCTTAAAGGAGCCCTTAAAGCCTTAAACTAACTTTGGTTAGTAGGGAATGGAAGAATAGTAGTAAAAACAAGTATAATTGTACCCCATTCCTCCATTCCCTACTAACCAAAGGTAAATAAAGGCACCTTTCGAAAGAGCCCTCCGGATCCCGTAAAGGAACCATCATTAATGTATCCCTTAAAAGCACCCAAGGAGGCCTTAAAGGCACCGTTTAAGAGCCTCTTTACATCGAAAAGGCCGAGCAGCGTGCTCGCACCTTTTGGGGTGGCCGCTTGCGTCTCAAAGCCCTCTATGGTCCAGTTGCCCGCCACGTAGTCCTGGGGCTTATGGTTCAGGAGTTTAGCGTTTAGGGTTGAAGGTTTAGGAATTAGGGTTCCTTCACGAGGTAGACCAGTCCGCACCGGCGAACATCCACATCCAGACATGTGGAGATCTGGGCTCCAAGCAACTCGACTATACTGACACGGTCAGGAAGCCCTCTCGTTTGGATCCAGAGCGAGTTGAGGTACCGGAAGAGCTGTAGAACACGGTCATACGGCTTCAATGAAGACAGATGAGTCTTCATCTGCTGAATCCAGTTCTTGGCAGTACGCTGCACATCGAGAGGGCTGCATGGAGAAGCTCCGGCAGCCATCTGCTGCAGGAGCTTCTCAAGGGATCTGTAAGGGCTCCTAAAAGGGATCTATAGGGTTTAATTTAGGATTTAGGGTGCTCGGAGGGGCAGGGGACCTAGTAAGTAGGTTATAGGTCTAGGCCTAAAGAGTAACCCAGGAATAAAAAGGGTGCCCTTTTTGGTTTAAAGGGGCTTATAAGGGAACCTGAACCCTAAAAAAGGGAATAAGGGCCTACTCTAGGTCCTAGACATGGAGTTACCCCAATTATAACCTTACTTATAAACGACTTACTTCCTCCCCTGGCCCTCCAAGTAGGGTTCAGGAGTTTAGGGTTTAGGGCTTAGGGTGAATCCTGGGAGTACCCTGAGCCCTATAAGCCCTAATCTAAGCATCATGGAGAACCGTATGCCCTATATACCCTAATTCGAGTTCTGCTTCTGTTTAAACAGGTTTGGGGGTTCCGGGCGTTAGTGGTTTCGGTGGTTTGGGGGGTTTAGGCTTTGGGATTCAGTGTTTTAGCTCCTTTTGTGTTGGGGTCCAGTTTCTCTTGAAAGCTCCTATCGAAGGTTGCTCAGGAGACCACTGGGAAAATGAAGGTCTGGGTAGGTTCTATCACTTGAGCTGGATTCAGAGCTTAAGAACTAGGGTTTATAGTTTACTTGGAGGTGCAGGGGACTTAGTAAGTAGGTTATAAGTAGAGTTATAAGTACGCTAAGTGGAGTAACCCCAATTAATAACCCTACTTATAGACGACTTACTTCCTCCCCCGGCCCTCCAAGCAAGAGTTAAGGCTTAGGGTTAAGGAAGTGACATGAGATTATGTGAGTTTGCAGGGTTGAGGCTCTGTCCTTTATAAAAGGGTTTAGGGCTTGTTGTTTAGGCTGCTGGCATAGAGGGTTTAGGCCCGGTTGTTGCTGTTGTCGTTGTGTTGTTGTTGGTGGTGGTGGTTGTGCTGGTGGTGGTGGTGGTGGTGGTGGTGGTGGTGGTGGTGGTGGTGGTGGTGGTGGTGGTGGTGGTGGTGGTGGTGGTGGTGGTGGTGGTGGTGGTGGTGGTGGTGGTGGTGGTGGTGGTGGTGGTGGTGGTGGTGGTGGGGGTGGTGGTGGGGGTGGTGGTGGTGGTGGTGGTGGTGGTGGTGGTGGTGGTGGTGGTGTTCATTTGGGGTTTAAGGTCCTGTCGGGGTTACCGGCGGCTCCAATCATGCGGTCGTACCCCACTCGATCTGAAGGTCATCTACGCAGGCTACACTTCAAAGGGATAATTAAGCGAAACACCCTTGCCCTGCCAACCGCCATGGTTCTCGATGTGGGATTTCCGAAAAAAGGGGACCGAAAATAGGGGACCCCAATATAGTACCCTAAATAGTAGGATCTTTAGTAGAAGGACCCAAATAAGGGTACTCCTACTTTTCGGAACCTCCAAAGTTACCGATACGACTTTCTGATCTAAACCCTAAACCCTAAACCCTACACCCTAAACCCTAAACCCTACATCCTAAACCCTAAACCCTACATCCTAAGCCCTGAACCCTAAACCCTAAACCCTAAACCCTACATCCTAAACCCTAAACCCTACATCCTAAGCCCTGAACCCTAAACCCTAAACCCTCCGATACGACTTTCTGCCTTCTGAGCCCTGGGCTTCACTACAGTGGATTCGGCTCCCTGCTCGGCTTTCTGCTCTTTAAAGGGAACTCCAGAAAGTTGGAATATGGTTTCAGGGTAGTTCTGGCAGTTCTGGGCTGCTTACCCAGCACTTGTACCCCTTCGGGAAAGGTTTGACCAACCAGGTTTTCCCTGGCACCAGGTCGTGAAGGTACCCGTCCGGGAGGAGGGGTTGGCCGAGGACCCCTTCTGGGCTAAGTGTTAGCACATTGGACTGAACGAGAATGTGAAGCAAGTTCTCGTAGTCGTCCCGAGGGAGTCGGGATTTGGCGTACACCTTCAGGGCGTATGTCACCTGCTCGAGACTGGCATGGTATTGTTCCACCAGTCCTTTGAGCTCGGCCTTCATCTCGGAGTCGTGCGCGGCTATGGTCTTCCAGACAATTTACCATAGAAGGGGTTAGGATAATCATATTCCAACTTTCTGGCTTTTACTTGAAGTGTTGTGCCGTAAGCCCGTACTGTAAGCCCCAATCCCACATAACACCCCTGAACCCCACTCGCCCAGGACTGGAAACTCCAAAATCTAGCCGTGAACAAAGTCTATGGATCACCCAATACATTGTAAGTCTAAACCACACAAAACTCTGTAACACCCTAAGCTATCAAACACAGCTTTAGTTCAAGCCGAAACCTAAGTTGACAAATATATGTGCGGCCTTAGCAATCAGAAAAGGGTTTTGGGGCATACTATACTATACTTATACTAAGGAACCACCCCAAAAATAGTAGACGTAGGGAATTATTTCAGCCGCTATATTACACGCAAGTGTCAGTCCACCCTCAAACCTCTTTACGCCTTCAGCCGGGGAGCTCTGCGGAAATTGAGGAACGCCAGGAACTGTTCGTGGCTGATCCCCCTCGGATTCCTCGGCTTCTACTTGAAAAGGATAACGCAGGATAGGGCTCCTTTAAAGGGGGTTCTATAAGGGGTATAAGGGATTTATAGTAGGGCTCTATAATGTAGGGGCCGCCTTGATTAGAATAGGGTTCGGGGCTACATTATAGCATAACTATTGTAAGGAACCCTGGGGGATGATATTGGTGTTGTTCAGGCTTCTATATCACGGCAGCCGCAACCACGGCAGAGAACATAGCAACAGAAGCGTACCGCAAGAAGGAGTGAGTCGGTACCACCAAGGACACACTGTTGATGAAGTAAATCCTGCATTACCCATAATACGGAATATACCATAACTCTCATAGTTTAGGGCCCTGAAGGTAATGCAGGATTTATATCATCAACCGTACCCTTGAAGATTTAGGGCTTAGGGCGGTTTAGGGTGGAAGCCCTGTATACTGTATACAAAGGTGAGTCTCGCAGGTAGCTTTCGTTGGTAGTCTTGGTCCAGAGAAAGTAGGGCTCAGCTAGCAACACTCGGAAGAAGACTTGGCTCAGGATTTGGGGTTTAAGGTTTCGGTTGTGGGGTTTAGGCTTTATGTCTAGATGTTTACGGTTGAGGGATTTTCGGAATTTCGGAATGGAAGCTTCGGGATTTGCACAGCCTGCACCCGCCCCAGCCGTGCAGGAAAAGAGAAGGAGGAGCTCGAGCCTGCTCCCAGCCCTGAACCCTGCCTGCCGCGACTTAGGTTTGGGATTGGGGTTAGTGGCTTAAACTTATCACTTATCGGAAGAATTCGGGTGTTAGATTTTGCAATAGCCTAGCTATTAGTAATTAGGAACCCGTAGGATCAGCATTGAAAAGGTTCAAATCCCTGTACTAACACTAAACCCAAGTCACTTTACCGTTGAATCCCCTCGCTCGCCGTGCCTTGCCGAAAACCCACAGCAAAGCCATGCAGAGAAATGTTGAAAACTCCTCTACCCCTACTTATCACAAAACAAGTAGTCTCCCTAACACTCAAAACGCTAAACACTCCAACCCAATTGAAACCCCCCCCCCCCCCCACACACACACACACACACACACACACACACACACACACACACACACACACACACACACACACACACACACACACACCCACACCCAGCAGGTCAGTCGGAAGACTACTGCTGCTAGTCAGTCTTCTTCTGCCATGAACCCTAAGCCCCTAGCAAATCCAAGCGGCTGGTAGTAGTAATAGGAGCGGATCCTTTCCACTGGATCGCGGAGGACGGTTGTGATCTCGGAACGTCAAGCGGGTTTGAAGTTGCGCATGCTACTACTTGAAGTCGGGGGGCAGCCGGAAATTCAAAAGGGGTGCCTAAGCCCTAGGCCCTAAGCCCTAGATCAGACGTTGTTTAATGCGATTGGGCTGGGGTTGTGCACGAAGGCGACTGACAGAAACACTCTGCTTGTTTGGTGCAGCGGGGGCCTCCAGCCAATTTGTGATCCCTCTGACAACCCTAAACCCTAAACCCTAAACCCTAAACCCTAAACCCTAAACCCTAAACCCTAAACCCTAAACCCTAAACCCTAGCTCCATGGACCCTACAGCACCCTGCATCCGAAACGAGAAATCAAATCGCAACTCCCAATCCAACTTCAAAAGAGTCTACCATCTCTTCTCTGTCGACTGTCCAGAGACTCCATAATCACCCGGCTAAGGAACAAGAGTTTAAGTACAGAGCGATTCTCAGTATGTGTTTTTTTGTTAGGTCTTTCAGGTATAGGGTTTAGGGTATAGGGTCGTGCATATACCGAGTCGGTCCCCAAACAATAATTAGAGCCTTGAGCCCTGCTAATCAGGGTTGATTTAGGGTTTAGGGTTTAGCGGTTTAGGGTTTCAGGGGCTCTTGAGGTTTAGGGTTTGAGGGGCTCTTGAGGTTTAGGGTTTGAGGGGCTCTTGAGCCTCCTGTGTTTGGCCCGAGAACAGTTTACACGCACTCCACACTCCTGAAGCTTACACGAAACGCACGGCCTTACGAACCCTCAAGCGTGAATGCTAAAGTCTCTGAACCCCCAACAGTTACTAACAGTAGCAAAAGTAATGATACCACTAATTGACTTTTATATTCTTGGTTTAGAACTATATATAGTACTAAGCAATATTCTTGGTCGTGACAGTAGCAAGAACAGCACCTCATCCTACACCCTAAGCCTCTGAACCCCTAAACCCCTGAACCGCCCTAAACCCTCGAAACCGAACCCCCAAATCCAAACCCTAAACCCGCAGCCGGAGCCACACACCCTAATCCAAACTCCTAGACCATCCGAAACCCCTACAACCTGAGCCCTCGACCCCAAATCCAAAGCCCTAAAGACTAACCCTAAGGGTACAAAGGACCCAATAACTAGGCACTTGGGTTTAGGATAGCAGTGATGTAGCTCATGATTTAAAAGATTAGGAGAATATCAGAATATATGATGTTTAGGTACTTGGACCTTGAGGGTAAGCCCCTTGAAACCCTAAGCCCTTGCTTTGAGATCCTGAGCTTTTCGCCAGGATCCGACTTCTCTGGAGGTTGAACATGTTCCTTAGGTTTAGGGTTTAGGTTTAGGCCTTTTAAGGTTCAGGGTCTTAGGGTGGAGGGGTTTAGGGGTTTAGGGTTTGGGGGTTTTTGGGTTGAGGGGTTGGGGCTTTAGGGTCTATGGTGTTCCTTATGGGCGTTAAGAGTTTTGGGGCCTAGCTTTAGGGATTTCGGGTTTTGGGGTTTAGAGTTTAAGTGTTAGGGTTTTAGGATTTACTTGGAGGATCAGGGAACTTGGCTGGTGAGCTCAAAATGATAAGGGGGCTTCCGTCAGGGCTTTTATCATAAGGTTTGAAGGGTTTTCGCTTCGAGCCACTTAGTGCATAAGGTTATAAGTACCTGAACTGAGGCGATACCTAACTCTAGTTCCGGCCCCCTAATTTTTGACGCTGGTTGCTGCCCGTAGGCTCCATAGTAGTTCCTTTGGGGAGTACGTACCTTATAGGGCTGCGGTGGGGCAAAGGAGTCGAAGGTCTGCGACTGTAAATATAAGGGCCTTGGATAGTTGGAATAGGGGCTTTACAGGGTTCTCAAAAGGGTTTGTGAAGGGTTACTATAAGGGCGAAGTATAGGGGCCGTAATGATTAGAATAGAGTTTTGGGGCCCATGATACTATATGTATAATTAATAAGGAACCCCCAAAATAATTAGTATTGGCAAATATTTCTTTAAGCCTTTAAGCCTTATTTCTTTAAGCCCCTGCCAACCTTGAGGAGCAGCGGCGTGCCAGCCTGGTCTCGAAGCGTCATCAGCTGGACGAAGCCGAGCCTTTCGCTGCCTTCCCACGCCCTAGGGGTCCAAGTAGTCCCTAGGGGTCCAAGTAGTCCCTAGGGGTCCAAGTAGTCCCTAGGGGTCCAAGTAGTCCTTAGGGGTCCAAGTAGTCCTTATGTATGGTTGTCAAAAGTAGGGTCCCTTTTGGGGTCCTTATTATAGTACGGCACCTAATATTTAGGGTACCCACAAAGGGACCCTAATCTTGACAATCACCCATGTATGGTTGTTGGTACCCAAAATGGACGCAAAGTCCTATAAAAGGGAGTAGTACTTGGACCCTTAGGGATGGTAGCCATCGGCGCTCTCCAAGAGACCCTGGAGGTCTTTGCCAGCTCCGAGCGGTCGACGAGGCTGGAGGTAGCAGCCCAGAGATCCCAAGACCCCTCAATGAAGGAATATACCTTAAATCATAATATTAGGGCCTCTATAAATTAAGGTATATCCCTCAATTAAGGAATATACCTTAAATTATAATATGAGGGCCTCTATAAATTAAGGTATGTCCCTCAATTCAAGGGGTATTGGGTTCTCTGGGAGAGTGAGTGCCGCGAAGGCGCCCTCTTCACGCAGTGCCGAGCCGTGCGCCCAGACGAATTGAAAACCCTCCACCCAAACTCTACTTAAAGGATCATGGGACTTAGTAACTAGGGCTATAAATAAGGTCTCTATTGTAACCCCAATTAAAGTACGTATAACCTTACTTACTACGTCCCCTGATCCTCCAAGTACACAGAGCCCTAATTCCCTAATTCTCACCCGGCCCCCTTGGGCATTAAATTGAACCTAAACGTAAACCTCGCCCTTTTGAAGGGAACCCTGAACCCTAAACCCGAAACCCAACCCCTTCCTATCGCCCCCCCCCCCCCGCCATCGCCCCGCCATCCTCTGAGTGAGTCCGTTTAAACGTTTAAACCCTCGAAGCACTGCTTGACCAGAGGCCCGGCGACCAAAAATCTCAACATTATAGTCTCCATTGTAGTTCCTTTATTTGGTTTGACCCATTTTATATTAAAAGGTAACCCAACAAGCAACTACAATGGAGACTATAGGTAGGGCGTAAGGGGCTAAACTGTAGGGTTTGGGTTATAGAGTCTAGGGTTTGGGAGTTTGGCGATCCACAACAATATCAAGCTTCGAAGTCCTGGGTTGGTCTAGAGTTCAGGATTTAGGGATTCTCAACCATATAATATCAAGAACAAGAAAGCTGTAGTAAGCGCGAAGTCGCAATTCCGAATCCCAAAACCCCGGAGAGTTCCATCAAAGTTGCTGAGGTAGCCATTTTCGAGCCCACTCCACACGATGGAGGAGCCAGAAGCGCTTGCTGTCTGGCCACCTTCAGCATTTTCAGATTTTTGTTTTTTTTTGGGGGTGCCGTTTCGGATTTACGGTTTGCGGGTTAGGCTTTGGGGTTGTGGCTTTTGGGGTTTAGGGTTTGGGGGGTAGGCTTTAGGCTTGTGAGTTTACGGGTTTAGGCTTTATGCTGTTCAGTGCTTCTTGATCGGGTTCTTTACGTCTTAATTCACAGGGCTCCATAGAGTCTTAACAATACAAGATTTCAGCAATAGAGGGAGAGCTTACAAACGCCTTTCAGCTGTAGGGTTGGTGGTTTTCAGCTAAGACCCTTAGTGCGGAGAGGTTCTGGGTGTCACTATTGTAGTTTCAGAGTGGGGATTGAGCCGTATAAAGTCTGCTGCTCCAGAGCAACCCTTATCTGTAAACCAAACCCTCCGCAACCGAAAACGCAACAAGGGAAAGTAGAGTTAACAGAACACACACCGAGGTCGTGCTCGAACCACAGACGATCAGCAGCAGAAGCTACCAACGTAGTAGTATGTACGCATGCGTACATCTCGTAGTGGGGACAGCTATCGTAATATTTTACTTATAGACATAGCACTTCCGAGGTTCCAAAAACAACATGACTCGCTGTCGGATTCCTGACACTCGACGGCACAATCAAAAAGCCAGGGGCAACCGCCCCCCACCCTCAACTCTAAACCCTGTACTACAGCGGCCTGAATTCATAATACTACATTACCCCTAAGCCCTGTTCATTTAAACCTGAGGAAATACTACCGACGCCCTACTTCAGGAATCCCAAAGTCTTCGCAAAGACTGCCAAACCTCTGAATTAAGGGATTGACCTTAACTTACCAAGGGATGCTTGATATGATTTAAGGTCTATTCCTTAGTTACTAGATAATGGCAGGTCTGGGTACACTAGTGACGTAGGGCTAAGGGTTGAACATTTTGAAGGTTCCTCTAAAGTGCTATAAAGTATCTACAAAGCTACAATAACCCCGAGGGTCCAAGTGCCTAATAATCATGTACTCTCCTGAGTATTATCCTAAATCCACGTGCCTAATAGTCCTTTACACCCTCAGGGTTGTATTGAGCTTACCTGTAGTAGTAGAGCAGTTAACATTTAAACATTTTTGAGCCACGAAAATCCCTGTCAACGCCCAAGAGTGAGCCTTCGGTTCGTCCAGTATTTCTAAGTCCTTTAGACCCGTATGGTAAGGGTTGTGGAGTCTCTAGACTCTATATAAAAGCTCCTTCTTTCGACCCTAAACCCCAAACCTAAACCCAGAATCCCCACAAGCCGAAACCCTAAACCCTAAGGGTTGTGGAGTCTCTGGACTCTAGGTCTGCCGAGATGCAGGTTGCGAACCCCGGCCAGGTCGGAAGAGTTCGCCACTGTCAGATTCTGCGCGCCGTGGGTTGAGGGTTTAGGGGCTCTTAAAGGGCTCCTTAAAGGGATCTAAAGGGTTCCTTAAGGGATCTATAGGGTTTAGGGGTTTGAGGTCTGGGTCTCACTCAAGCCCTAACCTGCCCCTACCCACGTCCCACCCAACAAGCCGCTCACTTCATGTGTGACTTAGTAGATAGTGCTGTTTCCTGGTAAGTTAAATAGAATCCTTAAAACCCTAACCCTAATTTAATAGACTCCCTATACCCTAAGGGGGGCCTAAATACCAAGGCGAAGGATGGCAGTCTAAGGCGTTTAGGTGTTCATGGGGGGATTTAGGGCTTTGGGTTCAGGGTTTTTAAATACAGGGGCCTTAATAATTAGAAAAGGTTTTGGGAATAAACTATACCATAATCATAATAAGGAACCCCCAGAATCGTATAAGTAATTATTAAGGCCCCCTAAATTAAGGGCGAAGGCAGAATCCATGGTATCGGAGCAGTCAGGGACTTCGGCTGCTTCTCGCCAAAAAGCGCAAGCAACAGCAATGTCCCCTCAAAGTCTCATCTGTCTCCTGTCTGGTTCTTAGTAGGGAATGGGGGAGTGGGTTACAGGGACTATGATTGGGGATCATATAGGGACTACTATAGGGATCCATTCCCCCATTCATTACTAAGCACCAGACAGTCTGTTGTAGGGAGACATGTGCCAGGCAAATCAGCCGCCCCGATGCGATCCCATGCGAGGCATGGCACCACTTGCCAGAGGCTCCAATATCCCTTAATTAATTCAGGAAGATTCCTTAAATCATTTTAAAGATCCTACTTTTTTTAAAGGTATCTTCCTGAAATTAATTAAGGGATATTCCATAAATCATATCCGACTATAATGTAAGGTATCTTCCTTAAACCATATTTGAGGTCCTACTATAATTTCAGGTATCTTCCTTAATTAGGGGATATCGGAGTCTCTGGGTTGCCATTCCTTCACAGCTCGATCGATCTAAACGTACAGATGGCAGACTTTTCAAACGGTACGACGGCGCAGCTCGGCAGGTCGTTCTGGAAAAGGACTTTCAGAGGCAAAAGGGCTTAGGGTTTAGAGGATTCAGAGGCACACGGGTTTAGGGTTTTCGAGGATTCAGAGGCAAAGGGGTTTAGGGTTTGGAGGCAAGAAATGAACCATCTCCTTCAGCATGTTGTCCATCACCTTCTTGCCCACAGCGGCTTTCTTCCTCTCACTCTTCTTTGCTTTGGCCTTCTCGGCCTTGACCCCGAGTGTATCCCATTCTGGTACACCCTGCCATCACCCTTGACACCTGAATGCCAATGTTCAATCTCCTCGGGTGCCAGCTTGAATACTTTAAAGCTTCTGATGCTAGCACCAGGTTCCTCATCATCTCCTACAAGAATCAACCTTCCGGATGGACCGACGCCATCGAGTGGGCGACCATCAAGATACCCGTGCTCCTCGTCGTGAGCAACCATTCGGTCTAACCCTTCGTCGATGGCAGCCGCATCCTCATAGAGATCCGGTACTCCATCAGCTCCGAAATTAGGAGAATAATGTTCGTCATCTGAGTCATCTGCTTCATCTTCTCCAGGTGCAGGCGGAAGTTTCTTCCTTGGACCAGAGGTTTGATCATCATCATCGTCGTTTTTGTCATCACCATCTGGTGGGCGATCATCTTTGCCAATATCCTTGAGCTCCTTCCCGTCAAGGTTGACACCGACGATTATACCTTCAAGCGTACTGTTCATCCTTTCGTACTCGAGCTTTTGAGGGGAAAACCGATTTCTTCTGGTAGGACGACCACTTCCGTCAAACAGGGTTGTGCAAGTTTTCTTGGGGCTGCGGCACCACGAGACAAGTTCACGTGCGCAAACTCCACCAAGTCCCAGACCTTGTACTTCATTGACCATCTTTGACCGGTTGTGATGATGTACCCGGCGAAAAGACCTGGTATCCCTTGCGGATCGAACTCCACTCCATACGACTTCTCCCTCGTATCCGTCAGCTTGAAGAATACTTTCTCACCGAATGGAATGGCTTTCCCTTTGAAGTCCTCGCCGACCACTCTTTTCCACGTTGAATCACCATCTCCGTCCACATCTTCAATATTGCACATGAGGTTGTGAGTCACGCAGTTCAAGGCACACGGCCAGCACTGTGCTGGTACCCTGGCTATGTTCCAATAAGTGTTAGTCGCGCCTGGCTTGGACACGGCCGCGACTGCTAGTGTGGCGGGGGCACCCGCCCGAAGCGAGCGCGGAACACCCACATCGCGGAGAAGCAAGCTCCGGCTCCTCTCCGTCTTCCACGGAAACTGCAACGGAAGCATCATCTTCGGGAGCTTATTCTTCCTCTTCATCTTCTTCCTCTTCACCGCTCCCGTCTCGCGGCGCCACTTGAGCCACGCCACGTAGCCCATACGAGCGGGGCACGGGACCGCGCCTGTCTCGATACATTCGAGAAGCGTCGTGCCTTCTGCCTGGCCCGACACCTCTTAAATTCAGATATCACGAAGGCCGGAATGGCACGGCAGCACGCCGCGCCTCAGGCCGCAGGCGTGGCTTGAAGGTCCACGCGTCCAGGCCGGACGAGCTCAAGCTCGCGCCACAACGGGCCGCAGAGAAACCTAGGGGAGCAATTTCCCAGAAGAGCCCCCAACTGTGAAGCAGTCTACTGCATGGTACTACATAACCCGTGCAAACAGCAGCGCAACATGCTTCGCGAGTTCACGCTCCGGCCCACACGACCGCAGGGCTGCAACTCAAGAGCTACAACCTACAGTCTACCGTGCGCACTTGGCAAACCTAGTTACTCAGGCATCTGTTCCAAAAATTGTTACGTAAAGCGAATTCGAAGGAACGTGCAATCATAGCATTAACAGCCCTGCTCACAATGACATACATACCTATACATACCTACCTACCTACATACGCACATACTACATATATACTTACATGCATACATATGCATCTGTGCATACAGAGGCATCTACGCATACACAAACATACGCATTGACATAGACATTTATGCTCATATAATATGTAGGACCGACGGTATACATATACATGTATATCACTCACACACACACACACACACACACACACACACACACACACACACACACACACACACACACGCACACACGCACACTTGTGTAAACGGTACATGGGGTCGGAGGCACTGGTCGTAGCCCGAGGTCACCACGCTTCCATCTCTCTTCCTGGTGCCAGACAGAGACTGCTGAGGGGTCGGGCTCGTGGGCGTCATGGAGGGTCAGTTAAAGCTGTCCGGGTTCCAGCAAGGGTGGCTCTATGGTTCAGGGCGGTGCGGCTTTGGGATACGGCTGAGACTGTTGGGATTTCGGCGATCAGTCAGCGATTTAGGGCTCTAGTGTAACCTCAAGAGCGTTGGGTTCTACGACCTGGACTTAGAGCTTTTGGGGCTTACACTACGATTTTCGGGCTGTCCGATGTCTGCATTGACGCCCACCCTAGACGCTAAACCCGTAGGGTTTAGGGTTCAGGGCACCTGGCAGCAAAAGCTCGGTGCGTGGCTGCGATTTCCAGCACGTCACCTCGGGGTTCTGCGATCTGTTGAAGAAAAGGATTTTGGCGGGTTGGGGCTTATAGGGTTGAGGGTTCAGGATTTCGGCGTAAATTCTGGAACAAACGAGGGAAGAAAACTAGGAATAGTATTGGGACTTAATTTCTGGCTTCCATATAAACCCTTAACCCCGAACCATGGGGCCATAAACCCACGGAAGCCCTAAAGCCGAATAGCTCGAACACGTGCCGCCTTCAATATCCAAAACGAACACTAAGCTGCAAAAACGCCATTGCCATTTAGGGAGTAGGATTTACAAAGTTTAAAGACTTCGGGCTTGGAACCCCGAAAGCCTCAGAACCCGTCAGCCCCATCAACTGGAGGCGGAACGTTTTCTTCCCGCAAGGTGCGGGGGACTCAGCCTTCAGGACACAGCACTACGGCTTTGTATGTGAAATTAAAACCTACCGCAAAACCTGAACCCTAATGGCACGATTTACGGACCCGCATAGTTCATACCTTCTTCGGTAGGTTTCCCTGAGGCTTTCTCATCTGATCATCTGAATCCACGAAATAAACCCGAAACCCAAACTCCTAAACGCTATGGCACAACACCCTGCACTTCCCAACAATTTTCAGCTCATCAACGCTCCCGGCATGATCTGGTATGCATCTTTCTGCCGGATCTCTGACGGATCAGAGATGATCAGCGAAGGATGCCATCCTCTCCCGAAAGAAAGCCATCCCCAAATCCTAAAGACTAAACTCCAACCAAACGAGGCCCGAGCCCTAAACCCCAAACCGTTAACGGCCTGAGCCCTAGCTGGTCACACTCATGTAAAAGGCCGCGTGGGTTTTCGCAAGCAGCATATTATTCGAATGTGCTTTCAACCCAAGCCTGCCAGCAAATGTGAGCAAGTTGCTTTTATGCTTCTTGAAGTGACTATGTAAGGTCATACTGCCTTGAAATTTAGGGCGTTGCACGTTTTCTCAGCAGACCTTCCCTAGCTGCTTTCGAAAGTCGCAATCGATCTTCCACTGGGACCGCCAAACAAAACTGTACAGGTATATGAGGACGCGGGGATTGACTCCGGCCTCCTTTTTGCTGTACCGGTCCAGGGCTTGCCAAAACCGATCCACGCACTGAGTTTCAGCGCGGACCACACCTCCAAGTTTGCCAAGCCATCGTCAAAACGGCGGAGTTGCAAAGAAAGTTGTTGGCATCAGTACGAAAGCACCCCTCCCCCCACCCACCCCCCCGACAACAGCTGATGGGCCTCGCAACATCCAGCAGCCGGTTCCCTTCTCTGCTGTTGACTTCACTGCATCATACGGCATCCCTGAGGCATCCCCTAAAAGTGCCGACAGATATACACCATCATTGAAGGGATATGCCTGGGGGGCCCCTCCAATCATATGAAGCCCCCTAGCCCTAGCATGCAAGGCATGTTCCTGAATTGCAGGAGATTGGGCTGCTGGGCCAAACCGCTAGGCACATCCAAATCGCCACACCTCCTGGCACCACAAAGACGCAGACCCCTGCTTTCCGGTTTAGGGTGTAGGCATTTCGGGGTTTAGGGTTGCAGGATTAGGGATTAGGGATTCTAACAAACAAGACATCTTTACTCCACACGTGCTATTGCAGTGTTTATTCTGTAGACCCCTGACTAACCCTCCCTGAAGAAAGGTTCTCACAGTGATTTTAGTATTAAGGCCCTTGAAGACAGGGCTCGCTGCTATTTCTGGACCCTGAACATCAGCAGTCTGCATAAATCCATCACAAAGCCTACGGTTAACCTCGAGCCGCGAGCGAGCGTACACTGGGGGTTGATGGTTGATGCTTTTGTGGCTTTACCTTCTAGAAGAAGCCTACTTGGGATCTGCTAAACACCTGGTTTTCTGGAGAGTCCCGATACACCAAGTTCTGGAAACCCTAAATCTAAACCCCACGGCCCTAAAACTCCAAGTAATTCAGTAAGCCCAAATCAAGTCCCCTGACAGCTGGAGCCACAGCTTAGGAACACGACGATGTTCGCTCTGTTTAGGGCTTTGACACTACCAAAAATCTTACTCATGTCAAGTACCTTTCCTATCACTATCGCTAGCACTACCGCTAAACGGTTAAACCCTAAACCTTGACTACCGAGCGAGTACTTCAACCCCACAACTGCGTCCGAAGAGATCATGTAGCGGCCTCTCTATCTGGAAAAGAGGCTTGGGAGCATTACATACTATTCATTTAAGTCTACAAGTTCTTCAAACGGAGGTTTCCGAGAGTTAGGGACCCTAATATGGGCTCCTTATTATAAGGAGCCCAAACAAGGTACTCCCTGTGTCGGAAACTCCCAAATCGGAAACTAGAACAAGCAACCCTCCGGAATAATTAGCATTATGGACCAATGGGGCTCATCGTAGTTCTCGAAAGCAAGGTCTTTAGGGTCTAGGGGTTTAGGGCAAGTTTAGGGTCCCTCTTAGGGTCCTGTTAACATGGGTGCCGCCGTCTTCTGGGTTCCTATAAATCTAATTTCGGGGCCTTGGCAATTAGAATAAGGATTTGGGGCCCATTGTGCTAGAACTGACTGTGCATCAGGACTCATGCCAATTGTGTGCAAGCACCCATCGCTCGAGCCATGCTGGCTGGGAGGTCCGTGTGTGGGGTTCAGGAGTTAAGGGTCCCCAGGCCTCAGAACAGTTTTTCACCATGATCGGCAGAAGCCAGCATCTATCAGTCTTTCGGTAGACCATTTCAGCAAGATTGTAGATCTCACATTCTGAGGAAGTCATGCACAGCTCAGGAATCTACATGCGTTCGCTGTTGGTGTGAAAAGTCGTGGGATAAGTCCTTCCAGAGCTCTTGCCTGCTTCACGCAAGAACCATAATAACGACCCCCCCCCCAAACAAAAACCATGTGTTTGCAATTGTCTAGGCCCCTATACTACTCTACGTTAGAGAACTTCCCATAGATCAAGCCTTAAGCTGCAGCTGTACTCAAACCCTGAACTGCGCCCTACTGCTCGGTCATGATAAATCAACCGGTTTCGGGTTTATCCTATCTATACTTACTCGTGTACAGTATTTGCAGGGAACTAAAGCTTAACATTATTTGGAATATATATATATATATATATATATATATATATATATATAGATATATATTGGTTGCAGTACCACAAAAAACGGTTCAAGGCGACCTACGTACTCTAATCTTCGATTATAGTTGCCTTTACAGCATGTCTCCCCTCATGGGACCTCCAAAAGCCCACAAAGCTACACACACACACACACACACACACGCAGACACATGACTCTAAACCCCCAACCCCCAAACTCTCAGACACGCACGCACACACAGACACACACACACACACACACACACAGACACACACACACACACACAAACACACAAACACACACAAACGATTGCCTGGCCATCGATGGCCTGGTAAATCACACCCAGGCCTGCGAAGCAAAGTGACATCGATGCGGGGCTTGGACTCTGGCAGAAAGCTTTCGGGTTTTGGGGTTTAGGGCTAGGGGTTTGAGTTTTAGGGTTCAGGGTTTAGGGGTTTTGGATGGAAGGATAAGTCAGCAGCAGGTGCTGAAACACAAAGTGACAGGGATGAGGGGCTGAAACCTGGGACAGAGCCCTGGGGCTTCGAATACAAATGGGTGGCAGTCAAAATTAGGGGTCCCTTTTTGGGTCCTTATTATAATACGGCACCTAATATTTAGGGTACCCAAAAAGGGACCATAATTTTGACAGCCACCCAAATAGACAAGTAGGTATCAAACAGGCAGGTACATGTCCAGATCCTTAAGCTGTGAACAGATAGAAAGATAGAACAGACAGATAGATACCAGATCCATGGATGGACAGATAGGTAGACAGATGGGCGGATAATCAAGTGTCTACCTCAGTATGTCCTTCTCTGTAGGTAGGCAAGTTGGTAGGTAGGGATGGATGGATGGATGGATGGATTGATGATGGATGAACCATGCATGCATCTTCGACAACTATACAGCACACAGTATTTGCTTGTCCTGTGTCCCAGGGGAAGTAACTAAAAGGTTAACCTTTGCGAGTATATGTAGGGTATAGTATCCCAGTCAACGGTTGCCTACTCTACTACTAGATGTAACCTGGCCGGCCGGATATTCTCGGATGCCGGTTGTTGTAGGATTTCGATTTCGGGGATGGCGGCTGTTTGACTCCGCCGCGCGGGTTGTTTAGCTGGAGGGGGGAATAAAGATGAAGCTTCAGGGTAGTTTAGGGCTTGAGCATCTTCAACCTGCACCCCAAACCAGCTAAGATACCTCGAACTCCTGCAAGTCCTCAAACTCGCCGTGAGCTTTGGCAAAAACTTTGTAGCCACGAACTACCTCTACCACTACACCTACTGCGACGAAGACGAAGACTACTGTAGGTGCCTTACTAAATTTAATTAGAATAGAATTAAGGGGATCATTCTACTATATTCATAGTACGGAACCCCCAAAATGGTATTGGTAACTACTTCCGCCCCAATAGTACAGCAATTGAGTGAAGAGGCTCTCAAGCAGAAGGAAGCCAAGATACTGCCATGGAAAGTGCAGGTCTTTGGGCGCTTAGGGCACCACCTCTGCCAGGACGATTACAGGGTGTTTGCTTCCTTGTTAAGCAGGCTTTCGGCAGAGTTCCGATCTTTTTCCAGCTTTACGGTTTGCAGTTCCGGATATAGGGTTTGAGGAACAGATTTGGGTGAACTTCTTCCTTTGGGCAGTTTTAATTGCTCGCACAACCAAGTCCATGGAGGTGCGCGTGGCTATGTGGCCATTCCTACTACGGCTCACATCAAAGAACAGTGCAAAGACTGGAAGAACACGTTACAACATCACGGAATGCTGAATACTCCAACGCAGAGCTGTAAGTTAAAGAAGTCATGGCTTCTTTGAAAGCTCATTAAAGGAGCCTGTCAAAGTTCTACAGGTCTATGGGCCTCTGTACGCGTAATTATAAGGGCTAACTATTCCATTTGCTGTCGTGCTGAAGGCTTCAGGGCGGTGCACGTAAGCTTATTACTTGTCGGGTATCATGGGAACTATAGGTTAACCTTTTGGGGGGTATAGAGGGATTATCTAGGGCCTGTACTACCCGAAAAAGATTAAAGGTTACCTGCTCGACTACTATAGTACCCTTATAGACCCCTATAGATCCTTTATAGTAACCCTTATAGACCCCTTTAAAGGAACCCTAAATATGTACTACTCTAAACAAGGTTAAAGGTTACCTGCTCGACTACTAGGTCTTTCAGGGCTTCGGATTTGTGAACTCCTTTGACTCTCGACTGTCCGAGGTGCCTGGCATGGGACTTGGCAACTACTTAAAGGATCATGGGACTTAGTAACTAGGGTTATAAATAAGGTAACTATACTTATAATTACTTATAACCCCCATTAGGGGACCTTATAACCGTACTTACTAAGTCCCCTGATCCTCCAAGTAGGTTACTTGTACTTATTTAGAGACCCCACGAAAGTACTTATAACTTTACTTACTAAGTCCCCTGATCCTCCAAATAAGATTAAGGTCGAGGGTTTGTGGTTTGGGCTTGAAAGCAATGCACAGACGGGGCCAAGTACCCAAATACTAAGGTTTTAGGTCCCCAATCCATGCTCTGAATGGTTTTTTTGCACCTTGAAACCCTACTATTTGGGCACGTGGACACTGAGGGTCTGCACAAGCGGGAACATGATTTACCCACAGCTCAACTACTTGTCCCTCGGGGGGGTTTTATTCCACGTGCCTCAAGGGACACGGTTTTGTCCCCCCTGTTCCGGGCATGTTGCCGAATCTCGCTTAGATTAGAGCAGTGAAAGTTGGGACAAGTAAGGGCAAAAAGGGAAGAAGGGCCCACTGGGACCCCGAGACTAAGTCAAGCAAAGAGCCGAAGCTAGATGTGGCAATGACGGTAGCAATCCGATTATCTCTCGAGCTCGATGTTTACAGTAGGGCTTTGGGACCTAACCCAGCACCCCAACACCAATGCCCCACACATCAAACCCTAAAGCCGACCCCCAAACCTCTACTGGCTTGTATCTATCGTATTAATCGTGACATACACATGAGTATGTATAGAAAGAGACACGTCTACATATGTGAGCGTACATACGCATATATATATATATATATATGCACATGTACATATCTGTGGGCGTGTATGTGTATGTCTGCGTGTGCTTATTGACCTATTAGTCTGCGAACCATCTGTTTACGTGTACACGTTGACTCAAATAGTTATGAGTTAGGTTTCCTCTCAAAGGTCTTAGGGAAAGCTGAAACGATATGGTGGCCGCCGAAAACTAGCATGTATATATATATATATACATACACATACACATACATATGTGCTGAAACTAATATCAGTACGTCAATCTTGCGAAGTATCGTACTTTGGAGGGCGTTTGCTTGAAATCCCAAGCCCTAAACCCTAAACACTACAACCCCTATAACCCCTAAACCCCAAACTCCAAAACCCCAAACAACAAACCCTAAACCCCCAAACTCTAACCGCCAGAGCAAATTCAGACCAGGATCGACGACTTTGGTCTGGGGCAGAGCTCCTGAGGATTGAGGTTAAGGGCTTAGGGCTATGGGGGTTTAGGGGTTCAGGGGTTTTTGGGGTTAAGGATTTGGGGTTTAGGGGTTGAGGATTTCGGCGTTTAGGATCAGGATTAAGGATTAGGATTTAGGGTTTAAGGCTTGTAGGGGTTTAGGATTTAGGGGCTAAGGTTGTTTAGGGGTTTAGTGTTCAGGACTGAAGGTGTATTTTGCTTTTCTTACTTGTCCAGTAGTCTTGAGGAACTAATTTAGCTGTAGGGATTGTATGGGGATTGTAGTGCTCCCAAAACGTTAAAGGTCACCTACTTACTCTACTACTATGTTTAGTGCTCGGGCTTCAGGTTTGATAAGGTGTCTATGAGACTTCATACAATCACCGCCTGCATAATTAGAATAGGTCTTGGGCTGTACTACATTACAAACATAAGGCAATATAGGGACAATAACGGGATGCTATTGCCAACTGTTATTCCGATTCCTTCCCCTCTTTCTTAGGGTTGTGGGTGTTGGGTTTGAGTTCAGGCTATGTCTATTCGAGTTTGGACAATCTTGTTTGCGTTACCAACATGCGGCAGGATTCAGCGTTAAAGGTTCGGGGACCGAAGTCTAGGATTGAGGGCTGTGGCGTTCACGGTTTAGTTGTATTGACTCGTTCCGTTTGTTCGTTCAGGAACTCCAACAATAGTGGTCATACAAATGATGTGTATGTATGCAAACACATACATACATGCATACATGCATGCATACATATATACATAAACATACACGCACATACATACATATACATGAATATATGTCCGTATAAAAGCATATACATATATCTATGTATACACGTCCACGTACGTACACATACATAAACGTACATGCATACATACTTACATACACACACACATACATACAGACAGACAAGTATGCATACATACATACATACATGCATGCATACATACATATATACATACACACACATACATCTTTCCATGCATACTTACTTGCATGCATACATACTAACAAACATACGTAGACAGAAACATGTACATCAACGTGCACACACACACACACGCGCACATACACATGCATACATGTACATACATACACAAACACATGCGGATATACATATACATGTACATATACATATACACATATGCATACATACATACATACGTACATATACATATACATGTATATGCATCCATGTACCTTTGAATACATACATACAGAGTTACATATGTATACATATAGAAACACGCACACACATGCAGACACACACACACACACACACACACACACACGTACGTCGAATTCAGAGTTCAGCAACCATCTTACAATACGCGTCACATTGCTGACTTAAAGCCCTGTGGAGGCCCTCCCGAGCCGTTATGCTTCCATTTGCATGCTACTAAAAATCATGCATTACACCTCGCAGTGCAAGAACAAGTTGAGGCAGCACGCAGGTATGTAAAACGAGGCAGCCCGCAGCTTTTGTGATGAGTGCGCTCAGTCTTTGTGGTTTAGGGGAACTTTGCTCTGATCTAACAATCACAACCTTAAACCCTAAACCCAAAGCCTTAAACCCTAAGCCCGTTTGAGCTTTTGGCACGGCAAAGCACCTCTCTTCGGGAACGATGGTGCCACCCAGCACTAAACCCTGAACTTACCTTTGGTTAGTAGGGAATGGAGGAATGGGGTACAATTAAAACTACTATATATTACTACCATTCTTCCAATCCCTACTAACCAAAGGTAAGTAAACCCCTAATCCAGGGGCCTGCATAGTTCGAATATCGTTTGGGGTATATTATACTATGATTTTAATAAGGAGCCCCCCACGATAGTATGGTTCGTTGTTGGGGCCCCCATATTCGACTGGAGGTCTGCAAGCTTTCCTAAACCCTACGCCAAAATCCCTAAAACCAAGCCACCCTGAACCCAAACTCTAAACCCTAGCCAGTGTAAACCCTTTAACCCCTATAACCCCTAAACCCCAAACCCCTTATGTAACCCTACAACCTAAACCCCTCACACCTACAAGCTTCCCCAATCCCGGAACCCGAAGCCTCTTCCCCCCAACCCTGAAACCTAAGCCCTGAAACCGCGCTTGACCTGGGTGGTTGTCAAAATAAAGGTCCTTTTTGGGGTGCCCTAAATAATCGGTGCCGTACTATACTAGGGACCCAACAAGGGGTCATAGTTTTGACAACCACCCACCTAAACCCTCTGCCCCTCCCCCTCCCACTCCCTCTCCACCCCCAAACCCTAAACCGTAACCCCTAAACCCTAAACCTAAGCTTGCAAGCGAAGGCACATATTCGAGCTTGCTCCGAGAGGATTGGTAGCAGGGCCAACCTGGAAAGCCACCTGGGCACGGAGAAGGAGAAAGACAATCTCAGGGTTTAGGGTTTAGGGTTCCTTTAAAGGGTTTAGGGTTTAGGGCACGGAGAAGGAGAAATCCAAGGGTAAAAGGAAGGACCCTTAATAAGGACCCCTAGGTATATCCCCTAATATAGCTATTGTAGGGTCCCTCCTTTTCCCCTTTGAAGAAAGATAATCTCAGGGTCAGGGCTTATGGGATTTAGGGTTCCTTTTTAAAGGGACCCATAAGCGTTCTAAAAGGGATCTATAGGGCTCAGAATTTAGGGTTTAGGATTTCGGGGTTTGGGCTTTAGGAAATAAGGTTAGGAGTGCAGGGTTCAGGGCGGCTTCATGCTTGAGAGGGTTTAGAGTGGCCCTAAACCCTAGGCCTTTTTGGCAGCCCAAGAAGTCCCGACGTCGGATCATGGTCCCGTTCCGACTAGTACAAACTCAAAACCATAAACCCCAAGAGCATAAACCCCAAGCCCTGAAAATCCAAGCCGACCCTATACGCCCTGCACACTCAGCCAAGAACCGTGTAATGAAGAACTTCAGATGAGGCAAGAAACCTGCAAATCAAGCACAACCCAAATCCCAATCCCATTCAAACCCTAACTTTTGATTGCGGATTTGGGGCCGCAGCCGGCTGCATCTCGAGTATGAATATGGGCAGTTCTCGAAATTACGGTCCTTTTGGGGTCCTGTTCATAAGAGTGCTGTGCTGAATTTGGGACCCACAAAGGAACCCTGATTTAGAGAACTACCCATATACAGGTCTGAACAGCACATATAAATGTCATCGTATAGTCTCTGCAAGCTCTACATGCTAACTGCTGTTGATGATATAAATCCGGCATTACCCATCATAAGGAATATACCATTATTCCCAGAAAGCTCGGGGTCCTTAAGGTAATGCAGAAGTTATATCATCAACAGTAGGATGCCTCAAAGGCCCTGTTTCGACTCGTAAACCTCTTACATCCTGGGCTCGGCGGTTGGAGTACAGCCGAGAAGGTCTACGTAGCTCCATCTTGCAATGTCCCGAGTATGAACTCCCGCAAGGTCTGGGTTCATGGTTTACTTAAAGGATCATGGGACTTAGTGACTAAGGTTATAATTAAGGTAACTATACTTATAACTACTTATAACCCCAGTTAGGGGACTTATAACCTTACTTACTAAGTCCCCTGATCCTCTAAGTAGGGTTCCATTAGAGGTTGGAGTTGGAGGTTTCGGCTTCAGAGTTCAAGGTATTTTAAAGGCAAGAACGAAGCCCTGTCCTAACCTAGGTTGGCCCCTTAAAGCCTCTGAAAAGTATTCGTAAATAGGGTCCTACTAAACCCAATAAGGGAAAATATAAAATGTCCCAAAGGCCTACCTAGTAACCATAGAAAGGACAGACATTCATGCCCAATGCCCTGGCAAGGTTGGAGGCCATGCGAACAACTCCAGAAACTGCAAGGGCCTGAGTACCTCACCCCTATACTTGCTACCCCAAGAAGCCACAAACATGAAAGGTTAAACTTTCCGATTCCTACTGAACTATAATAATCCAAAAGGTTTCAAGGTTAGGTATTGGGGATCTTAGTATATCAGGCCTTTCTTAAATCCGATGGAGACCGTGTACAAGCTTACAAAGCCCCACTCTTATGGAGACTCCATACCATACACCCCTCCCGACTCCTGTGTGCAGCCAGCTGGACAGTCTCCGCTGCAAAGCGAACCCTCCCCCGTGATTTCATCCACGTATTGTCGCCAGGTACTCCCGGCCACCTCCGCGTGGAGGTTTCAGGAAAATTGGGACCCCTTGCTAAAGCGTCGTTGTAGCTATAAAGGATCTTCATAAGTCCTGTCTACCAGTAGTCCCCGGGTTGACCCCCTGAAATTTAAGTCCCGCAAAGGAAGGTGGCTTATACAACCACATTAGAAGCCGCACAGAGCACATGAAAATGCGATTAGCTTTTGCAAAGCCTGTAGAGAGCGCGGCAACTCGCCCGTAAACCTCTGCAAAAACTGTAAACGCCCCAGTTTGTTGTGTCTGGAGCTCCCATGTGGTGCTCTGGGTCTTATCAGACAGAATAGGGTGCTGAGGGTGTGATCGAACAAGAAGTCTGTTCAAACGAGCGGAGCTAGAGGGCTTGTGACTCTACCGCTCTTCTGAAGCCGTATCCGTGTCGGAAATCAGCTTTTTGAGATAAGCTTCACGACAACTTTGATCATCCTGTCCCCCTGCCAGTGCCATCGGTTTCGGGGCATAATGCACTATAGGAAAAATAAGAAAGCCCGCAATCGTGTTTGTAATACTTGAGACCTCTATATTACATTTCAGTCTAACCCCAAGCATCTTGAAGATTGCTCATTTTTTGAGTTGCTGACAGGGTCCTATAGGGGCTCAGCTCGCGCAATATTCTATTGGCGTTTCGGGTTCTTGTTTCCAGTAGATATTAATCTACATTACCATTGTTTCGGAGGTGTACCGTGGAACTACAATAACTCCTCAACATGGACTGCTACTATAGGGGCCTGAATAACTAGAGTAGGATTTGGGGGTATATTATAGTATAGTTATAATAAGGACCCCTAGGCATGATATTGCAAACTATCTGGGCTTCTACATTCCTTCTCCGTAGTTGCTGAGTTCATAAGCCCCCCCAAAAAGTGCACTTTTAGTTTCATATATTGGGTAATTATTATCCCAAAAAGTGTAAAGTGAATCCACTCAGCTACTACGTTGGGGATGATACGTCACTGACGGCCAAGATGAAGATGGTGATCCAGAAGAAGAAGACGAGCTTGAGGCTTATGCTATACTATATTTGGGTTCCTTTGAAGGGGTCTACAAGGGTTACTATAAAGGATCTACTATGTTGGGTCTGTTACGACCAGGGTTTCTTAATTAGGTTCCTACATTGACGATTCAGGGTTTAGGTTTAAGGTTCGGAGTTTAGGGTTTATGGTTAAAGCTATTCGGCGATGCCGATAACAGTGACAGCACTGCTGCCGTCAGTGTTGATGCTAGTGCTGGTGCTGCAGGCTTCGCTGTTGCTGTTGCTACTGTTGATGATATAAATCCTGCATTAGCCATAATAAGGAATAGGTACCATAATTCCCATACATTAGGGTCCTTAAGGTCATGCAGGATTTATATCATCAACCGTAATTATTGCTTAGGCTTGGACTTGTTGTTGGTCTTGCTGGCTCAAAGCCTAATCCAAACTTAAACCCAGATCATCTTTTCAACTCCAGGAATCGGAATACTTTCAAGGATACTCATTTATGCAGTAAGGGTGTATACGGTTTAGGAATATGGCCCCTCTGCAGTCCTGTTAAAACTCGCCACAAACTTGTGAAAGCAAAAACTACCGATAACCATCAGACCCTTACGTATATAATCCTGGACCCTACGCGCATAACCCCTATTTGCCGAGTGTGGACTCCGTGAACCCCTGGCACCTTGTGGAATTTCACGAAGAGGGAGAAGGTCTCCACCCCCTCACGCTTCCGAGTGTCGGGTCTACAAGTCCTTCAATTAAGTCATCCATACTATAGTCCCTTTCAGGAATCATTTTTAATGAGGGCTCCATGCTTCAAGTTTTAAGGCTTCGGGTCTTTAGTTTCTTTAAGGCATCCATGAAGAGCTCTATTACGGCTTTAGGCTATGGGTTTTCCGTTTCGAGGTCCTTGGAGCTTCAGAAATGCCTGAACCAAAAGGCTAACAACAGCCACAAAACCCAAAACTAGGTAACTAGGTGTCTAGTTCAGCAGTCCCCAAATTCAGCTACAATCAGGGCTCTATGTTAAACAATAATAAGCGAAATGTAGAACTATCCCGAATCGATACTGTAATTCAGGATCGAAGCAGGTATAATGCAAAGGTTCTGTAGGGTTGTGATACGGCTCATACTGCCAAATAGAGGGTTTTTACACGAGGCCTCCAACAGTTACAAGCACATGGACTACAAAGGGGATGTAATTGTCTAAAGCCCTACGAAACTCTTGTGAACACCGTCAGGACCAAGGAAAGCGACCCCTAAACACCCCAAAAAATTTGATAACAAGTCATTTAGACCTTGGTATTGGCTTAGCTATTCCGGTGCCCCTAGGCTCATAATCCCCAAGGCCTCAAACCCTAAACCCAAACACCCTCAAACCCTGATAGATGTCTTGAGGGAACCCATACAGATAGATCCCGAAACCGAGCCCTTTGTAGGAACCCCTACAGATCCGTTCACGGAACCCGTATAGATAGATCTCGCAAAGGAGCGCTTCAACGAATTCCTACAGATCCTCGCAGAGGCACACTCAACCTTGGGCCCCTCCTAACCCAAACCGCCGGAAGGACCCCCAAAGTAGAGCCCTTAAGGAGGTTCCCATAAAGCACCCTGTAGTAGTGCAGGGTGTCAAATTCTGGGATCTATTTTTGTTGGATCCTTGCGGCGGTCCTGGGAAATATTGGAAAACAGCCCGGGTTTTGAGGATAATGTAGGGGCCTGAATCATTGGAACAGGGTTTTAGGGATTAGGATATTTAAATGTAGACACGATGCCATAGTTCGACTGTAAGTATGCCGCAACTGTGTGATTTTCAGTTTATGACGGAGACCCACAAATTCGACAGAGTATGAAGGTATGACTGGGCAGCCTAGCTAATGCAAAACACCAAACTCTCCATAGCTAAACCCTCAACTCCAAAATCTAAATTATAAGCCCTAAACCCCCCATCCTCGGACCCTAAATCCTAAGCCCCCAACCCTCAATCCTAAATCCCAAACTCATAGCCGTAAACACTTCATCCAAAACCCTACCTGTAGCCGAAAAGACCTACCTTTTTAAAGAACCATATACAGAAACCATAACAAGGAGCCCCAAAAAAGGAGGTCTTTTCGGCTACAGGTACACCCTCAACCCTGCAACTCAAGCTAAACATGAAGCCAAGTCGCAGCGGACGCTACGGCTTCCGTCGCTGCAGCGATATGGCTGTCCTTGTAAGTCGGCTTCGGGAATATAGGGCTTAACGGCTTAGGGTTTAAGCGGTTAAGCGGTTAAGATGTAACTTTTATTGTTAAGCGCTAGAACGTTATTCTGGGGTTACATTACTACACTTCTGAATGGAGCCGCGATAACCCTGAACCCTAATCCTACCATGTTGAATTTGAGAGCCAGGAATGTCTTCTTCAGGCTCAAAACAGCCACGCCCAGACAAAGATTCAGAAACAGAATGCGTCCTTCACGTTAGCATTTGGGCACGCTGTCGTATACGTAAGTTCAGGACCTTTACGACATGCTATTGGCAGATCCCCACCCCAAGGCGTGTAGTCAAGCCCCCAAACCCTAAATTTATCTATCTTAAGCCCTTTAATCAATCCCTAAACCCCCAAGAACCCTTAAATCCCTTGATCCCTAAACCCGCCCAAATCCCGAAACTCACATCAGGGGTGTCTGCGACACCTCGAGATGAAGCGTGTGCTGCAGAAAACTCGCTTCTGCCTGGCAAGGCTTGTGTTTTCGGGCGTTCAAGGTTGATGGGTCAAGGTTTAGGGTGTTGGGTTTAGGGCGTATGGGTTATGGTTTAGAGTTTATAAGGCCTGGGGTTCGGGGGGGCTATGGAAGTTCCTGTAAAGGTATCTATCAAGGTTCGTACAAAAGGATCTTTAGGGGTTCTATAAACGCTTGCGCTTTGGGGCTTCGGGGCTTAAGGTTCCAAGTTTCGGGTTCAAGCAATACCCGTTCAGGGTAAAGGGCCGACTTAGAATTGTCAAGCAATTTTGACCGCATACAACCGTTCAAACTCCAGGCTGCTTGGGGTTTATCAGGGTTGGGGGTTGGGGCTTCCGCCTTTGGAATTAAAACAACTGCGCAGCCTGATTTTAAACCGAAATGTTGTGACCCAAATTGTTTGAATACTTTCAACTGCGTGCAAGTCAGGGGAATAGAGGTCAGCATTGAGGGCAAGGAGTTCAAAGTTGCAGGATTGGTGGTTCGTCCGAAACGTCTGCCAAGAGATAGCCAAGAACAAACAACCTCATATCGACATGTTAAGTTCCGACAAAACCGTGAACAAACCTGTACAAATCCCTATAAAGTCAGTACCTTATGAACAGCCTGGTGCAAGACGGTATCATTATAGCGAAAAACTGCATCGATGGACCCCGATAAATCCCGACAAAACCCGTTTGCAACCGGCACAAAACCTTAAAGTACCTATACCTTATGGAAAGCCGCGCACAAGCCCAGATCACAGCCAACAAAAACAACATCGATGGACCAATGAAAACCCCGCGCACTAAGCCCCAACTGAGCCACAGGGACCGCTGGCTCCTCACCTGCTTGCCTGGCGGCCTGGATATGCTTTGTTTTTAAGACGGGGCCACACAACGGATAGAGAAAGGCTGGACTAACTGCGTCTTCGTTATGCGAGTCCATGGGCTTTTGCGCAATATCGTAGCACTCCAATCCAATAGAAGGGCAACGTTACAATGGGATAAGATTACTATTCATTACGACGTCGCCAAGCCTTAGGCCTGGGGGCTACAATCAAGACCCATGAATCAATGGAACCCGCTCAGTTTTCCTGGTTTGCGAAACCCATCCATTCCGTGCGGAAGGCTGTCACGTCCTGTGCCGTTGTCGTAACAAGCCACAAGAAAAGCAACTCTTCAATACTGTAGGATGGAATTGACCTAGTTGATGCATCCACGAACCTTGCACTACTCCAGTACGGCGCGTGGATAGTTCCGCATGAAGCTACTTGCTTGCTCAACTACAGCATCTTCGTCCAATGGCCAGCGTGCAGAGGATGCGACGAGGTTCGAGCTGGCTTGAGAAATACATAACCTCAACAGATGCACACAGTGCTGGGTATCCCCGTCGTGGCCAATGTCTTGCTTGCCGCATAGCTTGCAACATGTTGCCTTCGTCGAAAGGCTTCGAATATTCATGAACAAGGCCAGTGATGGAGCCTGCATCACGCTGGCCGTGCCTTCGATATTGATGTCTTCAAGGTTCGAACATCAAGTGGCGATCTCCTGTGTGAGCGTGGATATTTGCAAGATTGCCAGCGCTGGTGGCGGATGTCAAAAACAGGTACATCGATGTTTGCCGCTCTTGAGTGATAATATCTCGAATGAGAGGGTTTGAACAGAGACGGCCAGGCAGCATTGCTTCCAGACAATGATCGAACAAAGATGCATTACCTGGAGCTAGAAAGGTCAGACTGGCACGCCTGGAGAAGCACCCATCGAGGACAACGGATTGGGACTTTCCTGAAGCAGGCGAACAACACTCTCTTGTGATGATCGATCCGCCCGCTTGCCGGACAGCTCGTCGTTCCTTTTCGGCGCTGTAGATATGCGAACTTCGTTCCCAGTGGCTGGGAAAGCGAGCAGACGTCTCTGCAGAAGGACATGCACAAATGTCTTGTGCGTGAAGAGCATTTAATTAATCCATGCACAGGTCAGCGCCGCTGAAACAATCATCCATTACCCACCATTCTTCTCTGCAGCCAACACAGGTTGGCGGATGACGGAATCTGCACTCTGCACAAACCACGCGTAGTAAACTCTGCAGCAAGGAGATGTCGGCACGGAGTATGCGCAAGTAGGCTAGGAAACAGGACGCAGCCACCCGTAGAGCTTCTCAGTGCACCTTGACAGATCCACGGGCGACGGTGGAACCTATACAAAGTACATGTAGGTGTCGCACCATCGAAGCTGGTGAACCGACGTTAGATCGAGATATGCCTCTGCTGACGGGATGCCAGGAATACACAGCTCCATGCTATCCGCTGTCCAATTGCAAGTCGATGAACTAAACCCTAAACTTCCCAAAACCCTAAAACCCACGCTGACCCTAAGCCCTAAGCCAACAAGCTGGGTCTCCGTGCGTTCAGGGTTTTGGGGATCCAAAACCCTCTGCGCTAGACAAATATCCTCAGTAGAGTCAGGAAGGACGGGAGCCTCCTTCGGGGAAGTACCCACTACCCGGAGCCCTACAGGTGTAATCTTAGAGTCTTGGGGTTCCTTGCATAATACTTACCGGAAATGGGGCTTCCTTCATGGGGGCCTGAAACAACCAGCTTCTTCAAAATCCTATCCGCGCTATCCAACAAAAACTCGTCAGAAACTGCAAACCTAAACTCTGCACACCCTAAAACCCCAGGAAAAACTACTAAATCTCTATACAGCCTAAGAGCCCCAACACTTGGTGTCGATTTCAACAAAGTTATTATCATTAAGGCTCTCTGGCTCTGTGTTAACACAATACGGGAAACCAACAACTTTCCCAAATGGATAGCGAGTACAAAACCCGCTGTGAGTCGGAGTTTCGGATGGCAGGCAGTTGGGGGTTTCCGAAAATTTTTTAAATTAGGGGACCCCAAGACAGTACCCTAAATAGTAGGATCCTTATTATGAGTCAGGTACCCCTAATTTTCGGTATCTCCCAGTTCGGAGGCTGTATTGACGCCCCAAACTTCGCTTCGGGGCTGAGAGTCTAGGGTTCCTTTAAAGGGACCCATAAGGGTTCTTTACGGGATCCATAGGATTTATAAGGGGTTTAAGGGTTTAGGGTTTAGGGTTTAGTGGCAGGGAGTAGTTTAAGGTTTGGGGGCTTGGAGGGTTTATAGTGGCTCGGGCGTAGTTTAGGGTTTAGGGCTTAGCGGTTAAGGGGTATCTTACGGTTTCAACCAGAGCGCCCAAGACCCCATGTAGTTAAGTTAATAGACGGTAGATCATATCATTCACTAACCGTTCAGAGGGATTTTGGGCTAACTGCGCAAGTCAAGAAAATTCTCTACGGGTTCTATACGGGATCTATGCGGCGCGAGAAGGGTGCGATGGGTTTGAATACGGCATAAAGACTCTGCAAAGCTGCTAGAGGGCATTATGGAGGGTAGGGTTTAGGGTTTGCTGGTGGGATGCATGGTCTGGGGTGGAGATTGTACTTCATCCTGAACCGAGCGCCCAAAACCATGCTCGGCTTCCCGCAGTTATTTTGCAGGCTGTCGGGATTGATTGCATCCGAAGTTGGTTCAAGCGCCGCGAGCTCTGCGATCAGGGCGGAGGGTCGCCAGCAAGGGAACAGGCCACATCGCTGGGTTCCAGCACATCTAGGAGGGCCGTCAAGTGCCCCCTTTCGGGTGTGCGGGGGGCCATCACCCGCACCGTGTCCGTGTTCTGTCTTACTGACAGCAATGTTGCCGCCTCGCATGCAAGCACATAGGGCTTCAGCAAGAACTGTTTTTTGTACTCGTTGTCTTCCATCGTCTTGAGCATTCGCAGTGCCCCAGTCCAGCATGCAAAGTCTGTCATGGCCATTATCACTAAGAATGGCTGTCAAGCCTGTTGAGTTGTGGCAGTGGTGACATTGATAGCTGATAATCATGTTGCTGTTGATGCTAGTCTGCTAGAGTTAAACTTCATGACCGCGGCTACGAGGATGCTTCAGGGGCTTTTGGGGGCTACGGTGTGGAGATTCGGAAAATGTCGAGAGCTTCGGCTTCAGGGATTGCGGATGAAGCTTAGTGTGCTTTGGGGGTCCGCATCATGTTCCCAAGTTCTAGAACACTAAACCTGCAGGCCCTCCCTTAGAGCCCAAGACATCCAGAATGCCACCCTACACCCTTTTCCTTCGACCTCTGAAACCCCGAGACCCGAAAAAGTGAATCACCCTAAGTCGCGAATTTCCAAAACCCTGCACCCCAAAACCCTCCACAACCTGCCAAAGCCTGAATCCGGCAACCTGGAACCCCCCCTCAAAAAAACACACCCCGGCCGGCCTCAGCCGACAGCAGCGTGAAGGCCAGAAAGCAAGGGAGAAAAGACATGAATCCGAAGAGTCGATTTCGACCCGAAGTCCGCAGAGAAAAGAAGAAGACAACAAGACCAGCTCAACAATAGCTGAATAGTAATAACTGACTTGCTTATAGACTGTAGTAGGGCCCTATAAAGTGGACTTCGGGAAGGACTCCCCGAGGTCGTTTGCTGAAACGGAGGGTTTCGGTAGAGCAAAGACGGCTGCAATGGCGCAGGTCGGCGGTTTGGGGTTTAAGATTTAGGGCTCAGGGTATAAGGTTTAGGGGAGACCTGACAAAGTATAGTCCTGACATTCAGGGTTCCGGGCATCTGCACTGCAGCGGATAATACGACAAGCCGCAAGCCATTCACCCACAGGCCTAAACACCAAGGCCGGAAACCCTGCAACCCTCAAGCCCTAAATCCTGAACTCCTAAACACCCCACCTGTGGCCCACATGATTTGCGCTTTAAGGGAAGCCTCACCAACCTAACCCTAAATCCCAAACCCAAGAAGGCAACTATCAGGAACAGGATCTGGGTTTTAGTGCTCCAGAACACATGAAACATGCGAACTACTGAGTAAGTACTCAAGAGGCGAGCGGAATCGGCGTGCGGATGCTGTCTGCCGGATGTAACGGCAGCCGTTGTATGCTGTGCTCCCAAACGCAATGGGTTTAGCTGAAAACTCAAAATGCTTTCTTGTTCAGGACTGGAGCCAGAAAAAGGCACTCTGTGCGGGGTAGGGTGTAGGGGAATCAGACCTCCACAAAACCCAAGACCAAGCGCTTGAAATTTTAGGAACATGGATTTGAGTCATAACACGAGGACCCATGGGAACTAACACTGCGCGTATGGAATTTCATTCGCAGTCCTTGGACTCACATAAGAAGCCATTTCGCTCCAAAGAGTATTCCTTGAAGTCACAGTAACAGTCACGTCTCTTCTCAATTCAAGTGCTATCCAATAACGACATCCCAAATAAGTAACCTGTAAACCCTTGAAAAGCCGTGTTGAAGCTTCCAGACAAGCCCGTTAACAGCTTGTTGGGTATTGGGTAGTACCGGGCTTTCAACAGGGTCCTGCATGGTTTTTACATTCATAAACCTATTCTGGTGCTCATATAAGTGCGCTTCTTGAAAGTGGGGGGTCCCTGCATAGCATCTCTGCGAGAGGACGGCCTCATCACCATGCAGTAGCGTTGGAAGTTGATCCGGCTGGCACCCTGCAAGACGGGCAATGGTCATTCGGAACCTCCTTGAATTCTTTTAAGGCTTCCTTTACGTTAAGAGTTCCTTCAAGAGATCCTTTAAGGATTCCTTCATTGGTTCCTTGAGGGTTCACTTTCTGGGTGGAAGGGGAAAGGGGCAGCCCTATTCAACCCTCATTAGGCTCATCAGGGGTTACCCCCCTTCCGTTACGGCCCTTACCCCTAAGGGTCCTTATTTTCTTATCAACTGGGATCTATAGAATACACCAAAACCGTTAAGCCATGAGCGAGACTACGGCTCTTTTAACTCAGAGGGCTTGGGCACGAACGTCACGGTATAGTATACACAACATGATGACTGTACACGACCATACAAACTCCTACGCAAGCTGCGATGCAAAACTACACCCCCCTCACCTAAAG